TATGAAGCTCATGTTGGAATTGATAAAACCGTCTAGAAGATAAAATCTAGTTTCTATCGGTAAAAGATTATTGAAGATATTAAACACATATGTTTAGTTTCTAACAAGAACAGAGCTTTAAGTAAAAGGCAAAAAACAGCTTTACAAACATGCATAGCTGGGCTTCCGATGGATCGTATTTTTGTAATTTGGGATCGTTTATATGTTGGATGGAATCTCTTCCAACAGATCACCAGTCAGAAGCACTTGCCAAAAGTTGATTCATGAGTTCGTGTCTCGATTTTAAAAACCCCTTGGAATAAATACTGACCAAGGCGGATAATTTGAAATTTATTTTATTTGAAATAGAAAGTTAAGGTAATCTCATTAAAGACCCAGTTCTAAAGGTGTCATTGAAAACTTTAATGCTACACTTGAGAAAATTATTCAGAATTTGGTTTATAAAAATGTTAATGATTTTGATGTTAACACTGGTATATTGATGTCAGCAACTGGTTGTAACCGGAAATATATGCTGATGTTCGACAGAGTGATTATGCTTCCGAACCATATAATATTCCTATTCCCATTCCTTGTATTAATAATTACGTTGATGAATTATTATCTCACCTTGAAGAGATGTATAGTTTTGTTCGTGAATACATGTGATCAAGTGTTAAAAAACAAAAGAAAGATTACGACACACAAATTTCCCAATTCATTTACAAATCCTCGTTAAAACACCTAATGCATTTTGTGAGAAATTAACATACAAATGCTCTGGTTCAATTATAATAATTGAACATGTTAGTTCTGTTTCAAAAGAAGACGATGAAAATATCCCATCTTCATACTAGAGACCTAAACTTCCACAATAGGACGATATATAGCTGAGTGGTTCAGATGTTCGACTAAGCATCTTTTCAAGTTCTTACCTCCATTCTTTCTACGGTAAAATATTGCCTTTCGAAATATTCTCATGAACCACAACAAATACACCGAAGTCGATAATATATTCTGATGAAGTATATTCAACCAGCGTTGTAAATCCGATGTGGATTCGAAAAACTTCTATTGATTTTCTCCAATATCTTCAATCTTTACAATTTAAAGTAATATCCAAACCTTAAATTTATCTACCCTTTAAACTTATATTCCCCATTCTCAATTGAAAGATCGACTGCATTGTCTCATTAAAAAAATGGTAAACTTGGATACAAATTCCTTGTTTTGTGTCGTGAAAAATCTTACTTCGTGGAGAACCACATACACCGAAGATGATATCATCAAAATGCTTGCCGTTTTGATCGAAAACATATTTGTTAAGTTTGGTGTATTGATATTTCAGAAGACTGTCAGTTGTTCAATAGATACTTAAAAAGTAAAATCACAAAAATACTGAACTCCGAGGAAAATTCAAAACGGAAAGTCCCTAATCAAATGGCAAAATCAAATGATAAAACACATCAAACGAATGGACAACTGTCATATTCCTGACTTGGTACAGGCATTTTCAAATGTAGAAAATGGTGGATTAAACCTGGTTTTATAGCGCTAAACCTCTCACTTGTATGACAGTCGCATCAAATTCCGTTATATTTACAACGATGCGTGAACAAAACAGACATAATAGGTAAAATGGTCACAATATGGGTACAGCAGTCATCACTGTGACACAATCTCAAAACAAACAAATATTTAACAAAAAAGCACAAAAAAGTGCACCACTACTCACCCTCTGCTCCATTATTTGGCGTTTACATAACTCAGTTAATACGTTTCCCTCGTGCATGTTAACACTGTTCGAACATCATTAATAGATATTTGCTCCTTACACAAAAAATGCGCCAACAGAGTTCTGAAAAATAATGTGGATCCGGCATGTTCCTCATGCCAGTACAGCTCCGTTGATAAGTCTCATTCCGTGATGTCACAATCGCGGAAAATAGTCAGGATTGTGGTTACGACAATTGGAGCATATCCGTGATTATCTGTAAAACAGATATTCTAAAACGGTCAACCAACTCCCGATGCGGTCTCTAAAACTTTCTAAAGGATGATTGGAAACTTTGGTTTTATAGCGTCCTTGTAAGCAGTAACCTTCTTTCAAGGAATCATGATAGGAAATGTATGCTCTGGAATATCGTATCAGCTGTGAGATATATACTCCATATGCAGGCGCTGCTTGAATGTTGCTACATAGAAATATAATGTTCACAATTTTGAAGCTGACTTCTTTTTTTGTAAAGTTTTGTACATTTTCTAGATGTAAGTCAAAATATCAGACTTAACTGTATCTGTTGTATTCTTTATTTCAAGTTTGATGGGATAGATGCGTTCAACATAGTGTAAGTAAGTGTACAACAACAAATTTGAATCATTTAAGGTTTTTGCTTTGATTAATTAGATTTCAAAGTGAAAGTACATCTAAAGTTTTTCTTCTTTAAATTTCCTCTAAACTTTAGTTAGTATTAAGTTATTGAGGTACAGATTCACAAGTCACGATTACGAAATATTTTCAGCAAACCCTTAATCAACAACAGCAAGTATCATTACTCCAGAATGAAATTAATAACCTGAGGTCCGATAATGTAAAGGTGTATGAAAAAATTCGATTCCTTCAGAGCTACCCACAGGTAAAGTTCTATATCAATATGTAGAATTTCAAAGCAAAGTATGGAATTTACTCCGACTCTGTGTGTTTGGAAAGACAAGTATCATGTTATTTTATTGAGATCAAACTTAAAGTCCATGTGTTATGTGACAATTAAATTATCTTTTGTAAGTACACTTTCGTTGGTTGGTTGATTTGAAGAAAATAATGAATTGGATCGGTATTTGTATTGCTGATATTGACACAAATATGTATTTTCAATTGATAAATTATGAATAAAATTATGCCACTTGTTTAAGTGATTTGTTAAATTCTAAGGAACATGCAGAAATATTTTTTTCTCTTATAAACTGGAGATACATCTTTTTTTTTTGCATGAATCAAACAACCATAGCTGTCATGGCGATAAAAATCATTGGGAACTCCTGTCTATTTTTACCTGCATCGTCTAAGGCGAAAACAAGTATACTAACCGTTTGAATACGTCCGTCCATTCGTCCGCAAGATCTTATGATGAAAACTTTCGTCGTTGTTTGCTTGGCTTCAATGAAAGGGAATGATTTAATATTTGGTTTGGAGCTTCATAATGTTGAGTTATAGCAAGTAAGGAGTTTTTAAATCCGCCGTGCAGCCTCTTAATGTTTGCAGGTAAATTGAAATTTTGCGACATTCGTTTTAAGGGAAAATTTTCGCCAAACTTACTCGTCTTCTATCAAAGGGAATGGTTTAATAATTGGTCAGCAGCCTTATAATGTTGAGTTGAAGAGAGTAAGCAATTTTAACATCAGCCGTGCATTCACTTCCTACTTGCCAATACTTTGAAAATTTACAACACTTATTGTATTAGGGAAGTTTCGTCTTGTTGCCTCTATGGAGTTCCAAGAGAAGTTGTTTATGGTATTTTTGGCATATTGGGTTGCCAGCATCTTATTAAAGTTTGGCTTTCATAGGTATTGGTCCAGGAATCCTCTTAACCTGCTTTCTAAAGGATCCCCCTCCTCGATTTTTTTTCCCTGAAATTTTGTTTTAAGAGTTTACACCTTGTTATAGACTCATATGGTGTGCATACAGTTCATGCATAATCGCACCTTTCCAATATAGATCATTGGTTATACCCATCATAATCTTGGTATTTGGATACTATTTTCAAGTGTTTGGTGAATCCTTTGGAGATTTTGATTTTTTACATTTTTGTGAATATTCTAAAAGACGAAACACCATATTGTTTGTTCAATCTAAAAAAAAAGTAATTAGTCAGTCTATGGATAGATGCCAAGTGAGAGTTACATGCACTAGTAAATGTTTTTCAGATCGAAATTGCCATTTTGATCTATAAAAATTTTAAAAGACTACTTCCAATTAATAGTAATTTTCAATACTCTCAGACATATCAACTGATGTACAAAGTCAACAAAGGTTCTAGACTTATACATCTGTACATATCAGACATTCTACATGCAGACAATTTAGCTCTGTTCAGCCCATTTTCTGAGTTGTCAGTGCTAAACAACTCAAACTCTTTAACAAGACTCAATAGTTTTTGTTATACATTTCAGTCTAAAACTTGTTAAATGTGAGGCAGTCAAACTTTAATTGATGTGTTTTTCTTAAACAGAGTAGAACAGCTAGGGATGATGGAACTAAACACAGATATGCTACACACTATGAGGAGAAACTGGATCTATTTTCAAAGTTCAGCAGAACGGTAAGGTTTTTTCATGCCATAATGTCACATCAGTTTTATAAAAAAACAAAGACTAAACTAATCAAAGATACCAAACTTATAATTTGGTACACCAGATGTACTTTTTGTCTACATAAGACTGCCCAGTGGCGCTCTAATCAAAATTGTTGGAAGATTCAAATCAAGTACGAAGTAAGGTAAGATCCTTCAAAAACCGAAAATTACGAAAAGTTGTCAAAAAAAAATAAGTGTAAATGGCGAAAAGTTCGAGGTTGAAGAGCATTGAGGACCCACATTTCCGAAATGTTTTGCCAAATACAGGTAAGGTAATTTATTTCTGAGATAGAAAAGCCTTAGTATTTCAATAAAGTCAAAAATTTTTAACAATTAATTTATGATTATGACCATATCAATGATAATTCATGTCAAAACAGAAGTGCGAACTACTACACCAGCAGAAAGGAGATCTTTACTATAAAAAGTAATATTGCAATATCAGAATCATGTCAACATAGCCTGTTCTTATACAATGATAAAAAAAGTCTACAGTTCTAGAATTAAATTGAAGAAAATTATTGTTGTTTTTTACCTCTTGTTTACTATATTCAAGTTTAAATCTTTTATGGAAATTCATGAAATTTTGTTCATTGTGTTAAATTAGCATTTAATATATAGTTGCACTGTACTGGTAAAGGAGATAACATTATTGATTGAATTTTCAGGAAAACAGAGGCGATTCATGAATCTCAAACCATATGATAAAATAACTCTCAGCATGGTAAGATAAAACTTTCTTCAGTAAATGTTGGTTTTCAAAAGGATGACCCTTGTAAAAAGATTTTTTTTAGATTCGAGATCTGAAAATTGCTTTTACAGGAAAAGATACTAACGAGTTTAATACATTGGAAATAAATATTATATTCTTGCGAAAATAAAAGTCCAGTAGGCCACAACACATTTTGTACATTTGTGGAAGATCTCCTAATTTAAGAAATCATTAAAAAAGTTAGGTTCCAACTCCCGCAGTCCAAGTTGACCTTTGATGAAATTGACAATTTTGGTCACTCTTGGTCATATAACTCCTAATGTTTTAACGTATTTATACATCCATGGCTTTCAATACATAAACACTTGATAAATTTCTTGGGTCCGAAGCACTTTTCTTGATTTACCTTCATCGGGCATACTCAAACCTTAACATTTGAAAACCAGGGATACGCAAATACTCTGAAAAGTAAGAAAATATATAACCGAAAAGGACTTAAAAGAATTGCCAGTCAGAGGTCAATTTTGTCTGAAAGAGTTTGAAGTTTCTTAACATTTCTTAATTAATAAACGGGGAATTATCAATAAGTATATGTTGCAAATCATGTCAGTATCAAAGCACTGACTTCTGAGCTGAGAATACCCTCGGGGAGTAACAGTCCATAAGCAGGGGTATCGATCCAGTGCTTATGAATTCCAAATATTTAAGTATGAGCGTTCCTGATGAAGGTAAATCCAGAAAAGCATTTCGGAAGTACGCAAACTATCAAGTGATATTTTAATTTTTTAGAACTTACTCGTATGTTGTATTAAATAAATATTTTGATTTGCGAGAAAGAAACGCAATTTCAAACTGCATAATTTTGCTTTTTATAAGTATAATTTGTTTTGCAAATAAAAGATTGACTGTTGGTTGTTTAACGTCCAGTGGCACATATTTCATGGATGTTCAAGACACGAAGAAATTAACAATATATAAAATAGGTAGGTCCTGTAATGGAGGCCGTCCTGGATGAAGGTCAGGGACATTTTGACTGCTTCTGGAAAATACGGGTATATTGGATAGGCACATAATCTTTCCTTGTAAAAATCCTTCTGCGGACCCTTCAATAAGTTGTTTCAAGGGCTCTTAACGTGCAAAGAGCGTGACACGAGAAATCGGATTTAACGTCCCCATTCTGACAGGACGTGGCTGCGTATTTGTACATCCCGCACAGCCAAACAAACGGCCCACTTTGACAAGGGTTTTGCTTCCGGTCGGAAAAGACAAAGTGACCATATTTTTATTCCCCAGTCAACCTGGGGGGGGGGGGGGGGGGGGGGGGAGAAGGGGGGAGTGGTGAATGTTAAATGTATTATTCAGGTGACATTCTGTTTTCTGAAATTTCAACCATACCTAAAGTGAATAAAGAACTAAGATATATTCATTGTAATTGAATCGGTAATTTTTCTAGTGAATTTACAAAATGAGTGAGTAGAATGAGTAAATATAAAATCCGAACATAACACAGTGGTAGTATTATAAGGCACTATTTGTGAACCTTATGTTCAGTAACAATGTTAGGAAAGCCAAGATGAAATAGTACATGCTATTGATGTTGTGGAGTATACAATCAAAAAGAACCCAAATGTTTATCAACTTATTATGTAGGCGAGAGGTCCTGAAACTTTATTTTTGGAACACATGCAATTTGTTTCAAGTGAGACCTAAACCAAATAAATGAACAAAGTCAAATTAAGTGTCAAAGCACCGACTACGAGTATAATGATACCGTCAATTGCATTGGCAATTTCAAATAGTAGTTAACCTTTGTCAAACGAATTGATAATCTAATCGTCTACTGTTAATTCTTAGACGTAGGTACGATACGCTTAGAAGATGTTTATGTTTTAAATGTCCTTTTGACGCAGTGGTTATTATTAACAAAATGTTGACACGTATAGTTTTGATTACATAAAACATGTTTTTAACCGGATTTTCGAAGGAAATATCGGTTATTGGTTTGTAATTGAAATGAATCATAGACTTCAGTTATGATCGAATCAAGACAGTTGGACAGTTAAATCTATAACGAAGTTGAAGAGCACTGAAAACAAAAACTTTCCAAAAGTTTCCGAAATAAGACTAAGACGGTATACCAGGGGATTAGTGTTTCATTAACACAACATTAAATAAAACAGTAAATTTACGGAAAATGGCCGTATCGGTGATATTTCATGTCGACACAGGACTTGAATTAGGTGGTATTTTTGTTACTGATAAATCAGTTTTTGTCTCGCCTTGACGGAGTCAAAAAGCGAGACGGCGGCGGCGGCGTCAACAATGTATAAGTTTGTGATTAGGTCTAGTTCATGGTGAACCACTAGTGGTAGGTCAATGATATTTGGTATGCAGTTGTGTTAGCATTGGCACATCTCATTACCATGGAGATTATTTGACCCCGCCCCCTCAGTCAAGGTCTATTGACTTTGAAACTTTGCTTAGTTTACATGTATTAGTTTGTGATTAGGTCAGTTTATTGGGAACCACTAGTGGTAGGTCAATGATATTTTGTATGCAGTTGTATAAGCATTGGCATATCTCATTTCCATGGAGATTATTTGGCCCCGCCTCCACATTCATGGTCTATTGACTTTGAAACTTTTGCTTAGCTTTCATGTATTAGTTTGTGATTAGGTCAGTTTAAGGGAACCGTTAGTGGTAGGTCACTGATATTTGGTATGCAGTTGTATAAGCATTAGCACATCTCATTTCCATGGAGAATATTTGGTCCTTACCCCTTAGTCATGGTCTATTGACTTTGAAACTTTGCTTAGTTTACATGTATTAGTTTGTGATTAGGTCAGTTTATTGGGAACCACTAGTGGTAGGTCAATGATATTTGGTATGCAGTTGTATAAGCATTGGCATATCTCATTTCCATTGAGATTATTTGGCCCCGCCTCCACATTCATGGTCTATTGACTTTGAAACTTTTGCTTAGCTTTCATGTATTAGTTTGTGATTAGGTCAGTTTAAGGGAACCGTTAGTGGTAGGTCACTGATATTTGGTATGCAGTTGTATAAGCATTAGCACATCTCATTTCCATGGAGAATATTTGGTCCTTACCCCTTAGTCATGGTCTATTGACTTTGAAACTTTGCTTAGTTTACATGTATTAGTTTGTGATTAGGTCAGTTTCTTTTGAACCACTAGTGGTAGGTCAATGATATTTGGTATGCAGTTGTATAAGCATTGCCATATCTCATTTCCATGGAGATTAGTGTTTCATTAACACAACATTAAATAAAACAGTAAATTTACGGAAAATGGCCGTATCGGTGATATTTCATATCGACACAGGACTTGAATTAGGTGGTATTTTTGTTACTGATAAATCAGTTTTTGTCTCGCCTTGACGGATTCAAAAAGCGAGACGGCGGCGGCGGCGTCAACAATGTATAAGTTTGTGATTAGGTCTAGTTCATGGTGAACCACTAGTGGTAGGTCAATGATATTTGGTATGCAGTTGTATTAGCATTGGCACATCTCATTACCATGGAGATTATTTGGCCCCGCCCCCTCAGTCAAGGTCTATTGACTTTGAAACTTTGCTTAGTTTACATGTATTAGTTTGTGATTAGGCCAGTTTATTGGGAACCACTAGTGGTAGGTCAATGATATTTGGTATGCAGTTATATAAGCATTGGCATATCTCATTTCCATGGAGATTATTTGTCCCCGCCCCCTCATTCATGGTCTATTGACTTTGAAACTTTTGCTTAGCTTTCATGTATTAGTTTGTGATTAGGTCAGTTTAAGGGGAACCGTTAGTGGTAGGTCACTGATATTTGGTATGCAGTTGTATTAGCATTGGCACATCTCATTACCATGGAGATTATTTGGCCCCGCCCCCTCAGTCAAGGTCTATTGACTTTGAAACTTTGCTTAGTTTACATGTATTAGTTTGTGATTAGGCCAGTTTATTGGGAACCACTAGTGGTAGGTCAATGATATTTGGTATGCAGTTATATAAGCATTGGCATATCTCATTTCCATGGAGATTATTTGTCCCCGCCCCCTCATTCATGGTCTATTGACTTTGAAACTTTTGCTTAGCTTTCATGTATTAGTTTGTGATTAGGTCAGTTTAAGGGGAACCGTTAGTGGTAGGTCACTGATATTTGGTATGCAGTTGTATAAGCATTAGCACATCTCATTTCCATGGCGAATATTTGGTCCTTACCCCTTTGTTTGGTCTATTGACTTTGAAACTTTTGCTTAATTGTACATGTATTAGTTTGTGATTAGGTCAGTTTAAGATGAACCAATAATGTTAAGTCAATGATATTCGGTATGCAAATGTATTGGCATTTGCAAGTTTCATTTCCATGGAGATTATATAACCTCATTTCCTAATTATGATTCATTGACTTTGAAAATTTTACATAGTTTACAAGTTAATGTTTGTGTTTAGGTTTGTTTAAAGGGGACGACTTATGAAAAGTCAATACTATTATGTTTGCAGTTGTATTAGCATTGGCACATCTCATTTCCATGGAGATTGTTTTAGCCCTGTACCTTCAGTCATGGTTCATTGACTTTCAATATTTGCATAACTTACATGTTAAAGTATTGCTATTTTAATTTCAACATTTGCATTATCAAAATAACAAATAGGCGAGACATAATTCTGTCTTAACAGTTTATTTATATTAAAATTTAAGTAACACATCAAAAGATAGATAATGACTGGCAGATTCTACAACTTTCTTACCAGTTTCTCAAACAATCGGATTCAAAGGCGCTATTTCACTAGTCTGTGCACCTATATTTTTAATGTAATTTTATCCTGCACATGCACACAGTAGCCAACAGTACAGTTGCTTATCCATACCACACTTAGTCTACTAAATAGGTGGTACGCCAGTTAGTGGAGGAAATAATATAATGATGTATTTTCAATGTACAATGCTTTTTTCCAGGGAAGATTTATCCTGGGAAACAAGACAGCAAGGACCGTGACATTTTTTTACACAATACTGCTACATACATTGATTTTCTTGGTAAGACAAATATTGATAAGTTGAACATGGAAAGAGAGTCTGCTGATTCAGACAAAAGAAACGGACAGCTTTAACACATTGAACTATCAAACATTATTGTAAAAAAAGAGAATTTCGGGAATTGTTACATATTTAATCACAGTATATTATGATTAAATCAAAATTACATACATGAAATTATTACGATTTGTCGTGTTACATTGATGCAGGTAATAAAACGAACTTTTGATGTACGATTTATGTGAGAAACTTAACTCATTGAAGTGTAGATGCATTCAGCACATTTTACACTTGTTGTATTGCTCAGTTGTCAGAGTCAATTTATCAAATATCATATAGCAACATTGTTAAATGGCTGTGACACACTTATGAAAATGTCTCATAAATGGGTGTATTTATCCACCTGAACATTATCCAACAATTTGTAATGACAACCATCAAATATGCCTAGTATTGAAATAATTTTTGTTTTCATTGACAAACAGTGAATTACTGCAGTTGAACAAACTCTTGAAAATATAACAAATGTGATATATACAACATGGTAGATGCATGTATTTGTGTACTGTGGATTTATTTTTATTCGTGGGAAACCAATTTTCTAGCATTTCATGGGTAAAGTAGAATCACGAATTGAAATGTTTAACAAATTATGAATAGTCTAAGGCTTGTATACAGACGTTGGCAAAACCCATTTTGCCTCAATCCAGGAAAATTGGTACCATCGAAACTAATTGAATCCACAATACCTAGAAACGTATAATGCATATATAGGGGAAATTTTCGTCATTTGCTTCTAAGGGGGAAAACTATAACATGGTAGTTATAACTATACATTTATTCGGTATGTTTAATCAGGTACTGTATAAGCTAGCCCATACAGAATCTTGAAAGCGAGACATGGCTGCTGATTGGCATGAAAAGTAAGTCGTATTTATAATTAATCATATGTTAAATGATAAAAAGCCCGACATTACTAAAAAAAAAAAGGCGAAATGCACCAAAGGGAGAATACAAATTTATAAGTAGAAACACTCATAAAAGATATCAGGCTTATAATTTGGTTCACCAGGAGGGCGTTTCGTCTTTATAAGACTCATCAAAATCGTTCGAACAGTTGGAAGGTCAAATCAAATACATAGTTGAAGAGCATTAAAAATCGAAAATTCCGAAATACTTTGCCAAATTCAACTAATGCAATCTATTCTTGGGGGTAAAACAAACTATAGTGTTTCAACAATTCAACATTTTATCGACAGACGTGTGTTTCGTCCATGTTAGACCCATCGGTGTTGCTAGAAAAACACCCGTTGACAGGCAATATCAAGTACGAAGTTGAAGAGCATTAGAAATCGAAAACTCCGAAAAGTTGTGTCAAATACAGCATAGGCAAAAGAATAGAGACTGATATGACAAAAACGGAAAACGACGAAAAGACATACAATGGTCTACAAAACACTACCAACAAACAAAAGAATAAACAACACGAACCCCAAAAACAATTATGCAGTGATCTCAGGTGCTCCGGAAGGGTAAGAAGACCCTCCTCTACATTTACAACGATGGAACTATCACCTAATCCATTATCATGATGACATGTCGTATTTGTTATTAAAAGTCTTTCAATGCAACCTTTTATTAATAACTTGTCGGTTGTTGGACATTTAGAAACCAGAATTACAAGGATGTTGGGCCAATACTACAATTTGGAAAGGATTAACAATTTTGTATGAGGTTTAAATGAAACATTTATATCCATGGGACTAAAGCTGGAAATGACTCGTGACATTCTATTTTTTTAATTTAACAAGACCATTAGAGAGTATCATCTTTTATTGTTTATTAAAGTACTTTTAACTTAAATTTCAGGTATGCAGACCATATGATGAAAGTTCACGGACATAAAAATTAAAGAAAAAAATTGCTGCAAGTCGAAGTCGGACAGAAATATATATTTAATTTAAATTGTAAACAAACTGTTACTGCATGGGGTTGAACTTTTCCATACTAGTATATTTTGAGTATGAAAGATTTATACTAATAAAACTGATCCACGGGCATCTTGTGAATCTTGGGTGTGATAATGTTTTCAATATCTACGTTCCAACATACAAAAATTAAATATAGAAGGGGATATTTCTACAGCAGATTAAGATAAAAGCGGTTATTTATTTAATAGTATGTCTGATTTAAAAGAGGTATATGAAAATATTCTTGAATACAAAGAAGAAGTTACAGTATTGGTATGTTGTCTCTGCCATTTGATCTGATTGTAGATAGTTAAATGTCCATTACATTTTTCTTTTCGTCATTATATTTTATTTGAAATAATTCGAGACTCTTGGGAAGAGCTTTTTATTAAATTATTATTTGATAGCTTTTAATTAAATCATTTCCTTTTTCGTTTATACAGAGCAAATTAAATTCCGATTTAATATATCTATTTTTGTAAAAGTTTATTGAAAGAGGGTGCAAATTTTCTGTTTTAGGTTTGAAATTTCATTCTTCTATTTTTAAATCTGCAAATCAATACACGCAATAGTTGAATATAATACTTCTTTTTTAGTTTGTCATAACACTTTAACAGATTGGTATTTAGATATCAAAATTATAATTTGAATATCTTTATGTATGATTCTTTCAAGATATTTTGTTATGAAACTTGTCTAAAAATCAAACATTATTTGCTTAGTTTTTATTTTTTTCCCTCCTTTGTTAATATTTCATAAAAAACACAGATGAAAAGTAAATAAACTTTTACTCACATTACAAGGTATGATATCAGTTATTTAAAATTAAAGCAACAATTTCAAATAATAATTTATTGTTACATAGTTGACACCAATTTTATATAATATTTTATCTCTGTTTTCTTTCCTCAGATTTAGACATTTGAATTTTCAAGTATTTCTCATTCTCAAATATGGAAAAATTAATCATTTTCATTCAAATTAATGTTTAAATGTATTGGTTTGTTCATGGTAAGGAATATTTTAAATATTTTTATATAATTTATTGGTTAATTGGTACAGGAGGAAAACATGTTCGTCAATGTAAGATATTTCTTGTTGGACATTGTATTAAATAAAATTGTAAAAAACCTTCTGTATTTACTATATGCAGTTTTGCATAGCGCATACAATTTCTTTATGATATTAACTGAGTAACTGTGTAATTAGGCATTATTCTTTGATATGATTATATCCTAGTAAGCAACTGTTGAATATATATTGGTCGATTTAGATCTTGACTGTAAATATTATATCAATATTTTTATTATTGCATATCTTATGTTGATATGGGGATTTTGGTTTTTTTTTTGTGTCAAAGGGTGCTGTCTCTTTGACAAATACCGGCCGGCAGCTCCCTACTGATATGTAATTCCATATCAACATAATATGAATAAGTACTTTGAGCTTGCAGCGAACATTCATTGATACAGTATTATTAAGCGTTGTTTTTACTGTCTTTTTTCATATGTAATATCTATACTACATACTAAGAATGCCGTTTCTGAACTTATTTTCATTTTCATTCCTCTTTGTGTTAATCCACAGACTGAGATACATAAGTTACCAAAGATACTAGGCGTAGAGATAAGTACGCGAAATGCGGGTTTGCTATATATTCGACTACTCTGTAACGCTCGAATCAAAACAGTTGGAAAGCAACAAAAAAAAACATACGAAGTCGGAGAGTATTAAAAACGGAACTTCCAAAAAGTTCTGCTTAATCCAGTTAAGCTCGTCTATTCCGGGTTTAGGGTTTTCGATTGATTTGAATATTTAATACTGCATGCCAGCACGAGAGTTTGGACTTCTAAGCTTGTGTCTCCTTCGTAGATAAAACGTCCATCAAAGTTATAATGTTGTCCGCCAGACGCAAGTTTAGTCTTCATGAGATTCATCCGTGGAGCTTGACTTAAAACAGTTGGAAGGCTGAATAAAATTTAAAGTTGAATTGAAGAGCACCAACACGTTGTGTCAAATCCAGCAGAGGCTTTCAATGCCTGGGAGAGAAAACCTGTGTTACCAATGATGTTAACATTTAAAGAACAGTTAATTGAATAGAAAATGACCGCATCAATGATATTTCGTGTAAGAACGTGCATATTCAGTGCCGTTTTTGTTATTAAATTAGGGACGAAACGTCCAACGAGCAGTGGTATCTGACCTTGATTGTAAAATAGTCACCAATATTCAAGACATATTATTTAGGAGGCTGGACATGCTTTCCGTCTGCATATAACGCTCGAATCAACCCAGTTGAAAAACAAAAACAAGTATGAAGTTAAAGAGCATTGAAAACCAAAACTTCACAACATTTGTGCTTAATCCAGGTTAGAACATCAGTGCCTGGTTGAAGAAAACCTAAATGAAAAACATGGTTTGCCCATTTGATGAAAAGTTAATTGTATGAAAAATTACTGTATGAATTATAATTCTTGATTTCATGTCACCAAGAGAATGTTTACTATTGGGATAGTGATGCCATCATGGACGAAACATTCACAGAAATGATAACAGTGGTTGTAAAAGTCACAAACGATACCAGATAGTCGCGCTTCGTCTACGCAAGTTCAAAAGGGATGCCTGCATCATAACAGTTTGAGGATAAAACCCAATATAACGCGAGGAAGGTTGCTTTCTCTAGACTGATTTTATTGTACGCCATTCTTTGTACCTTTCGTTAGTACTAAGAAAGCAAATTAAGCCCATGTATTATTATATAGAAAAAAGAAGATGTGGTATGAGTGCCGATGAGACAACTCTCCATCCAAGTCACAATGTGTAAAAAGTAAACAATTATAGGTCAAAGTACGGCCTTCAACACCCTTGGCTCACACCGAACATAAAGCTATAAAGGGCCCAAAAATGATTAGTGTAAAACAATTCAAACAGTGTTTTGTCCAAGACTCGAACATCGTCACTGATTATAGGTAGGTAGGTACTAGTACATAATTTGAGTTAAGTGCTACACTATAAGCTCGATTCCGATCCTTATACTGAAAATTTTTTTGTTACTGTATTAATTAATGCAATCATCCCTGTCGGTGATCAGATATAAAAAGATATATGAGAAATCTTATGAATATTTTATTTAAATCAGATACAAATTTGCTGGAAACCATATGCTTTTTTATGAAATTTGTTGAAAATTCCCGAAAAAAACGAAAACCGGAAAATTATTTCCACTATTTTGTTGAAGACTTTTCTGTAACATAGGCATAGACCCACATCAATTCTTTCACCATTTATGAATATTAATGTTTTCGTGCATTAAAACACTTGACTATTTTTGATATTTCTGAGTCCATGTCTAATTGACTGTCTGTTTTATAAATGAAATAAACAAATTTATAAACCGTATGATTATGATGACACTAGCGGAGTAGGAAATGTTGACCTCTCGTCTTGGAGTTTACACTTGTTTTCAATTGATGACGTTTTGATCAGTCTTTTCAGCGTTTTATGTCATGGACTATAGTTTACCTTCTTGTCGTTTTGACTTTGGTCTTGATGTTGTCGAGCCTTCGACTTATTTTATAGATTGCACCACCCATCAATGATATGGTATTTTACACCTGTCACCCAACCAATCTCTAAGGTCAATGATTTTGTTATCATTTTTTAATTCCTGGTAACTGTGAGTGAAACAAATGTTGGGAAGTTTGGCCATGCCTGTGTATGTTAATTTTTTTCTTTCCAAAATTTTCATTTTCTTGCAAATTTGTACAATTTGGAATAACAAAACTGAATGGGTCTATGAATTCACATGCAACATCGATCTTTAAAGTTATGTGATACTTTAATTTTTTACATACTTGGCGGCTAAGTTTTAATATAAATCACGGTTACATGGACTTTCTTTTAAAAGACAATTATTTATCTTATGGAAATCTTCAGAAAAACATTG